AGAAGGGTCCAGACCCAAAACATCAGCTTTCCTGCTCCTCTGATGCTGCCTGGCCTGCTGTGTTCCTCCAGCTCTATAGCTTGTTATCTCAGACTCCAGCATCGGCAGTTCCTACTATCACTAACAGCTCATAACAGATTTCAACCTCACAACAAGCCCCATAATTTAATAATCTTGTATTCAATGATAATGTCTTGAACTAGTAATGAGATATTCTATGATTACGATTTCTGGTTTCACTTGAAATTTCAAAAATGGCAAAAAGCTTCCAGCAAATTAGAATCAACCCATTCACATGCAAGAATGTACTATTTTTGTCTGCACAATTGGACTTTGATAACAAAGAAACTTTGTCACTGAATGATAAATATTTTCTTATTTTAAGTTGTAACCAGCCATACTCAATAAATGCAGGGCAGAGAGCAAATAATAGGAGAGCAAAATATTGCAGATGCTGGAAATGGGCACAATTTTTTTTCCTTTCAGAGCTGGAGTTTGGTTTCCAGGGGTTCTCTTTTCATTCTCACTAACCTGTTTATTAGGTGATGCAGTCATATAGTAACATTGCCATCTGTACTTTGCTGGTATGTGGTATATTCAGACTCTCACAGAAGCAGAATTAGAAGAATTCAGCAATATTTTCAATAATCACCACTATTCTATTAAATTTAAAACTACAACACACAAGGAAAACCTTGAATTCCTAAGCACTACAGTACTTAAATTAGTACAACACAACAGGTATAAGTAAGTAACAAAAGTATTTTTTTCTCCCCAAAAAAACTGACACACACTTCTAAACATAAAATGCTATCACCCTAAACATACCTTATGCAAACTGATAAGGTCACGGTTAATTAAATTCCATTGCAAAAGTGGAAGATTTTGAACAGTTTGCTACTATTGTTACTGTATGTCTGGTCTCAATCTCAAATTTAACCTTAACAATTGTGATAGTGTTCATTACTGAAGCATCCATTGCACATTTCCCAGGGAGTAGCCCTGGACCATATCAGCCTAAAACTAGAGATTTCGCATTAATTTGCTAGAAATCCATTACCTTGATAATGAAAAGTTTTCTTTAATCCACATTAGCTAACTAACTCAAAGTTAGCTGCAAGTACCAACAGTGAGTTAAGTTCCTCACTATTGGCTCTTCCATTCCTAACCACTCGCTACTGTCCAATCACAGATTCTTTCTCTCCTGTGCTTACTGCTGATAGGCTCACTACTGAACCTTCTTACTTCTACTTACAGTGGGACTTCTCTTTGATTGGTCACCCTTGTGCTCAGATGTTCCTGGGCCCTGTTTGGGGGCTTGTGGGGATTCTGAGTCTTAGCGACTCTTGTTGCCCCCTCAGTGAGTCTAACCCTGAATGGGGTGGGAATGTGGCCAAGTGAGAACGCACTGAAGAACACCAAGACTCCATCAGGTGGACTACATCACCCAGCATGCATCTTGGTTGCCAAACCAGTAGCCGCAGGGACTTAGGTTCCCGCTCCATGTAATCTGGCACTCAAAGACTGAAATTTCATCTGGAATGGAGTGCCCTCTACAACCGTGTTTGCAAGGTCATTGGGAGCGAGAGGCTGCACTACCTGAGCCTGGATCCCACTAAAGCAGGACACCTCCTCTCCCAGGCCCTGTTGACCATCCCAGCAGCCCCTTGTATGCACTCACCTGACTGCCCCCCCCATCCCTCCCCTCAGTTTAGAGCATAGACAGTGTACACATCCTTGAGACGGATAAGATTCCACAGCCCCCGCCTGCTGCCCCTAGAGACCTGCCTCCAAGAGGAGGTTCATGGTTAAGCTCTTTCTGCAGTGAGCTGAACTGTCCCAGCTCTCCCTTACAAGACATTCCTGGTCAGGTTGTGTCTTGTTGACATTAATGTCATTAATTTGACAAACTCAACACTTCAGATATTTTCTGTGACAGTTGCTGTTGAAATCAGATATATCCCTGGACTATTGGTTATTGTCAGCCTTTTATTTCTCTGGGAGCATGTGTAGGATTGCAAGTTCCATTTCACGTTGTCCAGTGAGGGGCAGCAGAGAGCAGAGGAATGTGCCCTGAACCATCACTAAACCGAGATAAGGGCATGGTTCACTCTGAACAGTATTTCAGGCTATTCTTCTCCAAACGTGGCAATATGCAGCTTGTGTTTTGAGGGAAATACAGGTTCGTAAAGGCGTTTTCTTTATTTAATGTTAATCAAAGACCAACAGAGAGGAAAAATGTCAATAAAATTAAGTGGACGGTTGTTTTGCATTTTATGTGTGTGCTTTATTTTCAGGGGATTACACAGATTTCTATTCATCCCTTCATCATGCAACAAATGTTGGAACCATGTTTCGAGGAAAGGACAATGCTCTCATGCCCAACTGGTGAGTGACGACTCTGTAATCCTCCCGTGGTCCAAACCCATGTGCACTTCTATCTAGAAGGAGAAGAGCAGCAGATACATGGGAACACCACCCCCTGCAAGTTCCCCTCCGAGTCACTCACCATCCTGACTTGGACATATATTGCTGTTCCTTTACTGTCGCTGGGTCACAATCCTGGAATTGTCGCTGTAACAGCATTGTGGATCTATCCACAGCACATGGATTGCACCGGTTCAAGAAGGCAGCTCACCGTCACCTTCTCAATGGCAACTAGGGACAGGCAATAAATGCCACATGTATCTAGCACAGCACAAATGAATAATGAAGAAAAAGCTCCTATGTGGCTACTGGGGGGAGTGTGATGCCTGGGTGAATGTTTCCAAGTAAAAGTTGCCAACTCTGGTTGAATGTATTCCTGAAAGTTTCCAAAAGACCTGCCATCTCCAAACACCGATGTTTGTGGAACAAATTCACAAAGGTTTTCAAAGGATGACAGATGTACAATACTTCTAAAGACCTCTGATTTTTCTCAACAGTACCCACGAGATTAATTTTAAATCTTGGCAATTCCAGGACATTCCTACAGGTTTGGCAATCCCATATCCAAACAGAAGCTGGATTTTCGATTGCTCGCTCTGGGATGGTTCAATGTCAGGGTTGGGTGTCAATGGTCAGTCAGCTCCTGAATCTTGTCCACAGCAGCCTGTGATGTCTCTCATGGTCGGTCACCGAGACTTGTATCAGTGCTAATGTGAATCCCACCAATTGACTGTAAGGGGAAGCAACGGCACAGTGTTACTGTTCCTGGACTAATCCTGGACTAACTGGATCCAATGTCCCAGACTCATGTTCTGTGGACAGGGGTTTGAACCCCATCATGGCAGATAGTGACTTCAATAAAAATCTGGCATTAAAAGCTTCTAGTTTTAAACTGAAATGTACGAAGTTGGACAGATTATTTCTAATTAACGAATCACCATGTTGCCCAAGGAGTTGACATGAACAGAGGTGAAAGTTCTTGTTTATAAGATAGAAGATAAAATTAGACTCAATTACTATATCCTAAAGTCAAGAACTTTGGTCCATTTGTGCCCAGTACGAGTGTCCAGTTATGCCCAATAATGTTCATGCTCTGAAGGCAATTCAGAAATGATCAAGAATTTAAAAGGAAAAGCTGGGGAAATTTGTGATGTTGACCTCAGGAGGAGGAGATGTAAGTTTTCTGGTAAAGATTTATGAAGTAATAAGAGGCTTTGGAGGAGATACTTCTGAAAATGTAGCTCAAAATACAAGAAGAAAATTGGACACAAGGACACAGATTTTAGCAAACAAATGGCAAATTTCACCCTGATACGAGAAAGTTATTCACACAGAGTGATATGCACATGGAACTAACTGGTAGCAGTTAGATCGGCCAGTAACTGGATCCACTGCACCCAGCCCATAAGATAACTGGTTTCAGTCGAGCCAATTAACAAGTCAATTGTTTTCAGTTAAAATCTGTAGATCAAACACTGGTGTCAACTGCATATGTTGGGAGTCCCAACTAGGCTTTTAGCACAATTACAGTCATTTCTAATGGATCCAGTTGAAACTGTTGTACATAGGTCTGAAAGGATTCAATCTGAGGTGTACCTTAGGCACCACCAACTATGATGATATCTAAAGCTAGATATTAGATATTTAAAACTAGAGGGCATAGGTTTAAGGTGAGAAGGGAAAGGTTTAAAAGGGATCTGAGGGGCAACTTTTTCACACTGAGGCTGATGCATGTATGGAATGAACTGTCAGAGGAAGTGATAGATGCAGGTACAGTTCCTGCATTTAAAAGACATTTAGACAGGTACATGAATAGGACAAGTTTAGAGGGATACAATCCAAACAGGCAAATATGGACTAGTTTAGTTTGGGAAACCTGGTCAGCATAGATGAGTTGGACAGAAGGGTCTGTTTCCATGCTGTATGACTCTATATGGACTTGAGGGTGAATAGCTCACAATCTCAAAAGAATGAGACCTAATGTCTGGTCCTCATCAAACCCCCTGTCATGAAATTACTGTAACCTGTAACTAATCACTAATGTACAACACACTATACCTTGTTCACAACAAAAAAATCTTTGGGTTAGATCAATAAGTAGTTTTCCTCTGAAGAAGAGTCATACTGGACTCAAAAGGTTAACTCTGTGTTTCTCTCCATAGATGCTGCCAGACCTGCTGAGTTTCTCCAGCCTTCTCTGTGTTTGTTTGAAGTGGTTTTCCTCCACCTCCCTGGACCAAGCAGACCCTGGAGTGTACCCTGGAGGATGATGACACCAATCTTCATCACAGCAGCTTACACAGTGCAGTGAGCGGGCATAGCCACACAACAGGAACTAGCTGGACCAGTTACCTCTGGCTGAAACCAATTGAGACCAGTTGAAATTTCCAGTTGGCTTTGATTGGCTGTCTTTCCAGATGAGCTGAGTAACCTCTCCCACACACATCAACTTGTGAGGGACAAAGACAACTGAGGACACAGAACTGAGAAACAGTCACCAGACCTGAAACGTTAACTCTGTTTTTTTTCCCTCACAGATGCTGCCAGACCTGAAGAGCTTTTCCAGCAACTTTGTTTTTGTTCCTGATTTACAGCATCCACAGTTCTTTCGGTTTTAACTTGTGAGGGACCCATGTTCAATCTTACTCAGGACATATACATTCCTGAGATTAGTTAAGATTAAGAGCACCATCCATGGATGTAGATTAAAGCCTTGGAATGTAGAGATGGCTGGAGTTTAAACTACCTTTCTATGTACCACTCCCAGGTTGCATTTACCTGTTGCTTACAATGGACGTGCATCATCTGTCATTGTGTCTGGGACACCCATCAGAAGACCCATGGGACAGACAAGATCAGATGAAAGTAAGTACAAGGCTGTGTGGAATTACTTTGTTGACTTAAATGCTGAATGGTGAGAAATAGCTTGAAGCCCAAAATGTTAGTCTAAAGAAATTGTTTTATGTAGAAATTGTTTGTTCCGTAATAATTCTTCAAAGTACTGACATCAGAAAAAAATCTATTCAAAGCTGTAACATTACTGACGATATTGAAATTCTGTTGATGTCACAGTTTTGAGATCTGAATGATATTGTTCTATTGGTTTTTTTGGAAGCCCTGCAGCAGCTCAGGAGCATATGATATAGTGGCAATGGCTCATACCATTTGTTCAAATTCATTTTAATGATTGTAAGCAGTTTGTGAGGATGTGACATTTTTTAGAAGGGATCATGTCCTAAATAAAACCTTCCGCTTTATTTGGTATGTATACAACAATAAATTGCATTCAAATAGAATCTTTAGTGCAATAAAACATCCCAGACGTTACACAGGAATATTTCAAACAAAATTAACATTAGGAGATTGTAAGTCAGGTGATCAAATGTTTGATCAAAGAGGTTAGGGCATGGCTTAAGGATTGTTTTAAACAAGGAGAGAGTGTGTGGCCTGGGATCCAGAGTTTAGGGTCTTGATAACCTAAAGGTACAGACAATATGAAAAACTGCAGAGACTCACAAGGCCAGAATGGGAGGATAGAAAAGATATAAAGGGATGTAAGGCAGGAGAAGGTTACAGTGTTAGGAAGCAAAGCAGGATTTGAAAACGATTCTAAGAAAATTAAAGTCGAGGTGTTGCTAGACATAGAGACAACTTGTCTCAGCGAATGCAGGTAGAATGGGTGAATGTCATGGTGTGGGTTAGCATACAGGCAGCAGAGGTTTGGATGAGTTCAGGTTTATTGGAGGGTAGAATGTAGGAAATGAGCCAGGACAGCATTGGAATAGGCACCTCTACAAGTACCAACTGGATTAGGATTTCAGCAGCAGATGAACTGAATCGGGAGTAAAATCTGAGGTGCTGTTATTTTGGCAAAAGTAGGCAGTCTTGGTGTGGAATGATTATGGTGTTGGAAGCTCCCCATCAGATCCCCATTACCATCATTACCCTGTGGCTCTGGATCCAACACTGATCCTAAATCCCAGCTGAGGGTAGTACCTGCAACACTGCCAATCAACAGATCTGTTGTTCTCTAGAGATTATCTAGATTATCAACCCTAGGGATTTTTCATCTTTCTCTAGACTCCTCACTAGACCTGTGGCTCCCCAGTACTTTGGGAAAGTTACCTGTGCCTTCTTCCATGAAGACAGAGCTAAAGTAGTTGTTTAATTGCTGTGTCATTTCTTGTTTTCTGTTATTGATTCTCATGTTTTGGACTAAGAAGAACCTACCTTTCCATCTGTAATCTTTTTCATTTTGAATACCTATAGCAGCTTTTACAGTCCAATTTTATGTTGCTTACACATTTACTGTCATATTCGACTTTCCCTCTTAACCAAGTTCTTGATCTTCCTTAATCTTAAATGTTTAACTGATTGCTACAAACATTCTCATTACAGCGAAGCCACCCGTGTTTGGAGCTAGCAAACTTCTAGACTTTGAGTTGGAAATGGTATGTTTATTTTATTCAAACTTCGTTACACATCACTAACAAGGCTAATAGTTATCAGTGTCTGCTCACACCAGTATTTCAACCAATGAATTGAATAGCAGTGGTGGGTACTAATGGGACTTGTGTTAGTGTCCTCACCTCCTGAGCCAAGAGGTCACAGGTTCAAGTCCCACCTGCTTTGGAATTGTATAACAATTTTGCTGAACAGGTTAACGTGAAGGGTGGGGCTTATTGCAGGATCACAATGGTTGATATTACAGCAAGGAAAAATCTATTTACTCAGCACATAGTGAAGCAAGCCAAGTTTAAACAGATCCCTACTGCAGTCTATGAGTTAAAGGGTTTACTCTGTGTTTTCCTGCTTCGCAAATACCTTGAGTAATGGGATGGATTTTGCCATTCTAATAGCGGCACAATTGGACGTCACTTATCTAGCTACCTTGTGGGATTTGGACTGTTTCCCCATCAGCATTAACCTATGCCGCTGGATTAGTAGTCCAGCAACATTACCACCACACCACTATCTCTCTCACACTACAGCTGAGAGTCTATTTAAACAGTACACTTCTACAGTCTACAGAGCCTGTTTAAACAGTAGACTACAGTCTACTGAGTCTATATAAATAGTACACTATTACAGTTTATCATGTCTATTTAAAAGGGAGAATCTATGACCTACAGCAAATGGATGTCACTGTAAACTACCATATGTTCTCCTAATCAAGGCATACTGACTAGAACAGAATAACACAAAGTAATTGATACAAATGATTTCTGTAAATCAGTCCAAATCATTTGCGATAGTATGGGCTCAGGGCATGATTGACAGGGGAATTCACCATCGCTGTTCTAGTTAAAGTCTAAGTAACCAGCATTTGTTGCTCATCCATAATTACCCCTTGAGGAGGTAATGGTGAGTGAGCTGTAGTCAATATGATGTAGGTTCACTCATGATGCTGTAAAGAGGGGAATTCCAGGATTTTGATGCAGTGGTAATGAACATAGTGACTCTATGCCCCAATCAGAATGGTGTGTGATTTGGACCCAGTTCTACAGGGCAAGGTGTTCCCAATCCACCTGCTGCATATTACAGGGTCTCATGGTGGTCTATCTGAGTCAGCAAAATAAATGATAGCAATTTTTACCCACTGCCTACACCTTTTTCTGAGTGCAAAGGGCAGAGAAATGGTGACAGTCCCATATGCCCAAGACCTTGTGTGGGGCAGACCTCAATGTGAGCAACTGTCATCTCCACTCTCACGAGTAAAACAGAGGGAACGGGGTCTACTCTGTGAATCAGTATCCTACCTTGGGTTCATTTTCAGATACAAATGGGTGGAGCATCAATCATGCACTCTGACCTTTCCTGTAGCAGCGTGAGCACTGTGCTCTCTGACCTTTCCTGTAGGATAGTGAGCACTGTGCTCTCTGACCTTTCCTGTAGCAGTGTGAGCACTGTGCTCTCTGACCTTTCCTATAGGATAGTGAGCATTGTGCTGTCTGACCTTTCCTGTAGCAGCGTGAGCACTGTGCTCTCTGACCTTTCCTGTAGGATAGTGAGCACTGCGCTCCCTGACCTTTCCTGTAGCATGGTGAGCACTGCGCTCTCTGACCTTTCCTGTAGGATAGTGAGCACTGTGCTCTCTGACCTTCCTAGTCAGTAAGGGGCTGAGTCAAAGGTCCTAAAATAAATCAACAGAAATCAGCCGCAAAATTGGTTGGAATGTTTGCCAATACAGTTTGGAGAACAGCATATTCCCGGACTTTGTCATCCCTTTAGTCAGGATTTTCAGATTGATATGACTAAATATATTATTTGCTGTAAGATTTGATTGATACCTTGACACCTGACTTTGAAAATTGGCCAACCTTAAATTAACTGGAAGGCACATGACCCCTCTGAACCCAGTGGTTAGATTGGGAGACAGAAGGTTGAACGTTTGATAGTGCTTCAGTGACTTCAGCTTCTAATCCAGGCTGACCCCCCCAGTGCCATATTGAGGAAGTTTATAAGGATGTTGCTGGGATTGGAGGGTTTGAGCTGTAGGGAGATGCTGAATAGGGGGCTTTTTTCCCTGGTGCGTTGGAGGCAGAGTGGTGACATTATAGAGGTTTATAAAATCATGAGGGGCATGGAGAAGGTGAATATCCAAAGTCTTTTTCCCAGGGTAGGTGAGTGCAAAACTAGAGGGCATAGGTTTAAGGTGAGGTGGGAAAAATTTAAAATGGACCTGAAGTGCAACTTGTTCATGCAGAGGGTGGTGCATGTATGGAATGAGCTGCCAAGAAGAAGTGGTAGTGAATGGTACAATTACAACATTTAAAAGGCATTTGGATGGGTATATCAATAGGAACGGTTTAGAGGGATGTGGGCCAAATGCTGGAAAATGGGACTAGATTAATTTAGGATATCTGGTCAGCATGGACGAGTTGGACTGAAGGGTCTGTTTCCATGCTGTACAACTCTATGACTGTAAGTGCTGCACTGTCAGAGGTGTCACCTTGTCAGTGAATGGTTAAACAAAGGCCTGTCAGCACTCTTTGTAAAGAACCCCTGGCTGCAGAAGGGCAGGGGGAATTCTTTCTGTAAGTTCATTCAAGCTGCTCTGGTGTACAGGACAACACTGGGAAGCAATCACATTTAGAATTTCTTTCCAAAGCTGCGATTTCAAAGCTCAGATATTGGAGATCTCATGAATCCAGCTGCGCCCCAAACAATACCTGCTATGCTTCCCATTCAACATCTACAGGAGCTGTACAATCTAGAAAACTCTGTGCTGGGAATGATCTGAAAAATAAACTGCACTCTTAACTTTCACTGCACCTTTCTTCTTAAACCAGGCTTTTTTTGTGGGACCAGGCACCAAGTTAGGAGAGAGAATTGATATATCCCGGGCCCATGAACATATATTTGGGATGGTTCTTATGAATGACTGGAGTGGTAAGACTCAATATTTATTAGTAACTTGCTCATCGCTCAAGGGGAAAGATCACTATCCTCAAACAGGGGACAACAAACTTAAACACAGTGGGTTAACATTCGCTTACAGGAGGGGTCAGCAGTAAAACTTGAATGTCTGGAGATTCCCAAACTCTTCATATTGCAATGCAGTTTTCAAAGGAAGGCTGGTGGCAGTGTTGGGTGGGGGAATCTCGGATTCTAGTCACTTCCAATTAACTTTACATCAAGCTCCTTGAGGAGTTTGTTCATGGCCAGGAGGTGATTTTTAAATTAGGAATCGCAAAGCTGCACAGCCTGGTACATAATACTTTACTGGGCTCAAAGTGGAAAGTGACAAAGTTTTCTGTATGCTAGAAAGATTTGCCCCTGGGTGTTTTTGCTGTGAAATTGGGCATGGTACCTGTTATTGGTAACTGTATGGGCCTGTATCTGACTGTTTTGCCTATTATCTGCAGACTGAAGCTTTTGGGTTCTAGCCTTCTGGCTTGTGCAAGGCAGAGGCACGCTATTTTTCTTTATTCATTCACGGGATGAGGGCATCGCTGGCAAGGCAGCGTTTATTGCCCATTGCTAATTATTCAGAGGGCAATTAAGGGTCAACCACATCGCGGTGGGTCTGGAGTCACATGTAGGCCAGACCAGGTAAGGATGGCAGTTTCCTTCCCTAAAGCACATCAACGAACCTTATGAGTTTTTCTGACATCGACAATGGATTTATGGTCATCATTAGATCCTTATTTCGAGATATTATTGAATTCAAATTCCACTATCTGCCGTGGTGGGATTCAAACCCAGGTCCCTAGAACATTACCTGGGTCTCTGGATTAACAGTCCAGCAATAATACCACTAGGCCGTCACCACCCCCACTTTATATGTCTGCTTCTGCCTTTGACACTCTGCTCTAAATGGCATCTCCCACTTTCCCGTATAAATCAATCCCAGGTTGCTGACCAAGGACTTACCCCTCCAGAAAACACAAACAGATAAAGCTGGAAAAATCCCAGGGTATGCTGCTTGAGAAAGACCTAGTCATTGTTTTCCTCATCCTATTGTAAGCAGAAAAACACAGAATGGAGACAGGTTGCTTAGTCCAGACACATTTACCCATCTCCCTCACCTTTTCCTTCACCTGCATCTCCAATTTCTGGATTGTTTCGGCCTTATCCATTGGCCCAGCAAGTGAATCTGACAGCCTTGCAATCTTCTTCAGGAAGTAGTTTCTGCCCTTTCCTGAATCCATTACATTTCATCTTGTATCTGTGACTCCTTATCCTTGATGCTACGTGTAATTGAACAAACGGTATTCTATTCATAATAAAGATCAGGTAGGAGTCAGTGATCTGCATTTCAATAATCATTACCTTGGGGCTTTTGTATTCTGCACTTTATGACATAATCTGGAATTCTAGACTGTTTTCTAGCCTTATCAGTCTGATGGGGTTGGGTTGGAGGGGGGTGTTGGGGTGACTGGGCAGCAGGACAGTGTGCTGCCTTTACTATCCCATTAATCCATCCTCTCCCCCCATTCCCACTATTTATCCACAGCACTTAGTCTGTGTCAGTCAGAGCATAATTACAGCTTTAATTCTTTTGGAGCCACATCTATTACCACACATTTATCAGCAGTGATTTTATCTGTCACATTTAGCCCTTTCCCTAACCTCATTAACATCCCTTTGCATCTTCCTTTGTATCCTCTATGGAAGGTATTTTTCTTCCTATTTTTGTACCATCTGCAAACCACTCCTTCAAGTCTTTCAACATCATGGATTTATATTGAATACAGAACTAAACCCTGTGGAGCCCCATTTCTCTCATAAATGCTGGAAACCTGCTGTCTTCTCCCTGTCCAATCTAGTTTGTTAATCTCCCACTATTTCCATGCCCCATAGTCCTCTCTCCTGTATAATACCTTGTCAGAGTGCTTGCACATCCCTTATCCAGAAAACCTCCTCAAAGAATCCCATGAGATTTGCAATCATGGTTTTCTCTTCAAGTAAGTACTGGCCATTTCTAACAATTTTCTCTTCACATGAGGGGACTTCCATTCTCAACTCGAGACTCTCAAATGTCCCAGTGACAAATGTGAAGAAAATTGAATTGTAATCACCCCGGATTAAATCTGTTCCCTTTTTATAAAGCGGTATTCCAAGGGATTCTTGTAGTACAGTGGCAGTGTCCCTACCTGTGAGCCAGGAGACCTTGGTTCAAGTTCAGTTTGCTCCAGAGATGTACAATAACATTTCTGAACAGGTTGATTGGAAAATATTGAAATGGATACTATATTGCCCAACCTATAGTCTTAGCTGTGCATCTGTACTCAATGTAGCTCTGAAATATTAGCAGTGTTGCCTGTTACATAAAATCTGTTTCACCCATCAGTTTCCAGCCTCAATTGAAGCATCCCTTTGAGGAAAGCTGCAATTCAGCAACAAATATGTCTTGTTGTGAGCAGTTTCATTGTTGAGGCTTCATTAGCCATTAGAAGGAAGCAGTAGAAGAGAGTGTTGATGGTGTAACTGACTGATTGTATCATATCAGAAGTAAGCATTGACTATCTGGCTTCAGACTGACGTCATTTTGGTGTGTTTCAGCTCGCGATATTCAGAAATGGGAATATGTTCCACTGGGACCATTCCTAGGGAAGAGTTTTGGAACGACCATTTCACCTTGGGTTGTATCGATGGAAGCTCTGTCACCATTCATTGTGGCCAATCCTGTCCAAGTAAGTTTGCAGGTGACAGACTCACCTAATGTACTCCATGTGGATGTAAATTTAAAGCTGAAATAATTGTCCAGAATGTAAAGTGGAAGGAGTTTCCCACCGGCTAGAAGGTTGGGTGGTTGGGCAGGGGGAAAGGGGATGGTTGGGGGGGGGGGGGTGGAGTGTGCTGGAGGGGAGTGGGAATCGAACCCACTTTCACCAGTCCCCCCAAAGCCAGGGAATACAAGCCTCTTGCAGCAGATCCTGGGTCTGAGGCCATAATGGCGGCCAGAGAAGGAATTGAATGACGAGGTTGGCAGGACCAGTCAGGCAGGCCCTGGTGAGGGCTGCAGGGCCAGGGGATCTTCAAACCAGGGCCCCTGCCCTTAATGACTTCAGTGGGTCTGAGGGTGGGTAGCACCTGGCCACTCTGTCCTACCACTGGTAGAATATAAGGGGAGGTGTTGCACACTGTGCCCCCTGTCATCCAAACCAATTTGTACATCCTTTGCCTGGTCACTCCTGGTAGGTGTGAGCAATAGGATATAGAATTTCAGCCTTTGACTGTGCACCATGACATCTGATGCTATTGGTTCAATGGAGTGAGGATGTGTCTTTTGTGCTTTTCCCAGTTGCAGGACATTTCCATGAGCAGTACAACCAATACAGCAGGATTAAAGCGTAGTCACAATTTTGAGATTGGTCCAGATCTTCCATTCTATGGACTGTTGGAGGCAGACCCAGATGTACAATCAGAGAGGTGTTATCAGGATCCCATGAAAAATCCAGATGTACTGACTTGGTTGGAATTACCCAGGAAGTTATAACTTTCAACAAGCATTCCACTCTCCCCTGCCCCAGGACCCTCAAAACAAAAAGTCCCAACTCTTTTGGAGAGTTCCAACTTACCAGGAAACGTTAGATACAAAAATATTAAGCATACCCCTGGGCAACAAGAGAACAGGACACCACCCATCCCACCCTTGATTTGCCCCACAATAGCCCCAGATCCCTCTCAACCTCCTCCATGATCCACCTGACAAACTCAACCAGCTGATTTCCCACTGACCCAAACTTCGTCACCAATCTCCTGACTGCTCCCTTGACCCAATCTTACAGCTTCTCCCAAATCAACCCACTGACCACCCTGTCCCCTACCCACTTCCCTCACCCACCTGAAGAATCCATGATGGACTACACCCCAGAATTGCAAAGGATATAGCTGAAGAGATAGTTGAGGCATTAGTGGTCATCTTTCAGGAGTCAGGGAGGATCCCAGAGGACTGGAAAATCACTAATGTAACCCCCTTCCCCCGTTTAAGAAGGGTGTGAGGCAAAAGACGGGAAATTACAGGCCGATTAGCCTGATCTCAGTCCTTGGTAAGATTTTGGAGTCCATTGTGAAGGATGAGATTTCTGAATTCTTAAAGTCAACATGGTTTCATCAAGGGGACGTCATGTCTGACAAATCAGTTAGAATTCTTTGATGAGGTAACCAGCAGATTAGACTAAGGAGAGTCAATGGATGTTATCTACCTGGGCTTCAAGAAGGCCTTTGACAAGGTGCCGCACAGGAGGCTGCTGAGTAAGATAAGGGCCCATGGTGTTAGAGGCAAGGTACTAGCATGGTACTAGCATGGATTGAAGATTGGCTGTCTGGCAGAAAGCAGAGAGTAGGGATAAAAGGGTCTTTTCTCAGGATGGCAGCCAAAGACAACTGGTGTTCCGCACAGGTCAGTGTTGGGACCACAACTTTTCTCTTTATACATTAATGATCTAGATGAAGGAACTGTGGGCATTCTGGCTAAGTTTGTAGATGATACAAAGGTAGGTGGAGGGACAGGTAGTATTGAGGATGTGGGGAGGCTGCAGAAGGATTTAGATAGGTTAGGAGAGTGGGCATAGAAGTGGCAGATGGAATAAAACGTGGGAAAGTGTGAGGTCATGCACTTTAGTAGGAAGAATAGAGGCATAGGCTATTTTCTAAATGGGGAGAAAATTCCTGAGATATGGGGCCCAAAATTGCTCTCAATATTCTAAATGTGGTCTGACCAGAGCCTTCTAAAGTCTCAGAAGTACATCCCTGCTTTTATATTCTAGTCCTCTCGAAATAAATGCCAACATTGTATTTGCCTTCCTAACTACCAACTCAACCTGCAAGTTAATCTTAAGAGAATCCTGGACTAGGACTCCTAAGTCCATTTGCAATTCAGAATTTGAAGTAGGTTCTGATTGGGAACAAGGGAAAAGCGCAGACATGTTAACATCGGTCACTCCAGCCACCACCAAAGTTAAACTTGCAGCTACAGTGACAGTAATGGACATTTTAACTGAGAGTTGATTTATTGCGATCAGTTCGGGGAACACAACTCTCCAATATTCAGTTTGTTCAATTGTGTTTCAATCTGCTTAAAGCATTTTAATTGTTTTCTCAAAGTTGAACAGTTCCATTTCAATGCCATTGATTGAAAACTAGCTTCTTGCCTATATTAAAATGTTCTTAAATTCAGGCTCTGTTAAAGAAATGTGCTGAAATAGAGAGGAACAGAACTGTTCCTTACAATCCTGTGCCCTTTCAGATGCCCTCAAGTAGCTTAACCTCCTAATTTCAGGAAGCCCAGTTATATAAATCACATCTGGTCAGTTTATGGGAACATCTCTAACTCTGGAAGAGTAAATGTCGAGTATAGCATATAGAATGAGCCCTGGATTGTCAGAATGCCTTTAGTTACACTTTATTCCATGATCTTTCATTTGTGCAGGATCCCAAGCCTTTGCCATATCTGTACAGTGATGACTCGTACACTTTCGACATCAACCTTTTGGTTTCTATTAAAGGTGAGATAAACCTAGTGACTGCTAACGTTTCTGTGTGCTCCTTTATAAATCAACAAGAAGAATTTTTAAAGGCCATTTTTAAAAATGGTGATTGAATGATGGCTTTGTCCTTTTCATTTTATAAATGTTAGCATTCAATGTCCAGTGTGATTGATTAATCCTTTGGGTCCCTGATAAGGTGGGTTTATTCTGAATGCTCATTTTCACAATGGTCCTGAATTTCCTTCCAATTTGTCTGATTTATGGTTGTAACTCACAGGAGATCAGTAAAACCCTGGTGAAATTAGCTAAGTGTTAGCCTTATCCATGTGATTATTGAGGCTAATCGATGTGCAGATCTATCTGTTCTAGATTAGAATGTACTTTGCAGATAGTTTACAAACGTGTTGCACTGCTCCCTCTCTTCAGGAAGAGTCAAGTGCTTTTACGACAAACATCAGTGAGGAAAGATTTGCTGCTTCCTGCTCACAATCTGAAAAGTTTGGTTCTTGTATCCCCTCCTAGATTTATGCTCAATTTCTTGGGTATCATTTGGAAACAGAGCATGGGGTAACTCTGCCCGTGCTAGGATCGGAAGACAGAGGAGTGGCTATTGGTGTGGTGTTATTCAGAGAGCTGGGGCAGACACAATGGACTCTTTCTGTAACTGAAAAAATTTTGTGCTTCTGGGTGGACAGATACAGTTGAGAACATAAGAAATGGGAGCAGGAATAGGCCATTCAGCCCTTCAAGTCGATTCCACCACTCAGTAAGATCTCAGCTGATATTCTACTTCAACACCATTTTCCCACACTATCTCTGTAATTTCCCTTGAAATCTTTGATGTGAAGAAATCTATCGGTCTGTTTCTTGAACACACTCAATGACTGATCCTCCATAACCTCTAAGGCAGAGAATTGTAAAGATTCACCACTATCCACAGGATGGGAAGGCTCAGTGGATCAGTCACAGTAAATGTGGGGTTACGGGGATAAGTGAGTGGGGACAGTGTTTGGGTGGGATGCTGTTTCAGATGGTTGGTGCAGACTTGATGGACCGAATGTCCTCTTTCCACATAGTAGGGAATTCTAGGGATTTTGTGATCTAGGTGAAGAAGTTCCTTCTCCTCTCAAGACTTCACCTCCAAATGAAAACTCCTCCCACATTCACGGCAGCCATTTTAACTTTGATGGCATTTTGCGTTTAAGTCTTTCAGCACAATGAGATTCAGTTTCCCTATTGGATCATTTGAAAACCAGCCACTGTCCCCACACTGTGACCCACCACCTCCTTCACCCCACCCCATTCAGTTTGCCATCCCTGTTTGCTTTTGTAATCCTCCATTTCACCCTCCCTTCCTCACCGCACCAGAAACCTGGGCTTGATTCCACCCTTGGGCAACTGTCGGTGTGAAGTTTCCACATTCTCCCTGTGTCCGTGTGGATTTCCTCTGGGTGCTCTGGTTTCCTCCCACACTCCAAAGATGTTCAGCTTAGCTGCATTGGCCATACTAAAGTGCCCATAGTGTCCAGGGATGTGCAGGCTATCTGATTAGCCATGGGGGATTGGTGTGGACTCCATGGGCCGATCGGCTTGCTTCCACACTTTAGGGATTCTATGATACACCTGATCAAAACCAGCTGCGGCTGACCTTCTTGACCCCTCTGCATCTTGCCCCCCATCCCCTCAACCCATGAGACAATATACTCCCTACCCTGACCTTCTAAATCCCCAATTGCAATATCCACAGCCCCCCATCCCTGTGGCTTTTCTCTCCATCTCACCAGACCCAGACCATAGACATGGATCAGCTTAAGCCTGGATGATGTCCTTAATCAATCCTTCACCAGTGCCCAGACTGGGTGCAAGGCAACAGCCCCAAGACACACTGGATCTCAGATCCCCCTCAACTGGAGTCATCATCAGCCTCCACGTCCCCGGGAATGACCCCTTTCCTGTCTGGTCTATCCCCTTTCTCCTTCCGTGCTCCATGCCATTCAGACACTGCTACTCCCCTTTTTGCCACTCTCGTGGCTCAATGCCATTCAGAATTAAGCAGCCCCTTGTTTGCCGTGTGCCACCTGGGTTTGATGACAGCCCACTGGGACAGGCTGTCTTCCTCCACTTGTTGTTCAGGGGAGTTGTAGTGTGAGAGATTGTCAGTATTGTTTAAAGCCTCATTGCTACAAGGGCAAAGAAGCAAGTACTTACCCCTAGGGTGAATGAAGAGATGTTGGTTGCCTACCTCATCCCAGGACACCAATTCCATGACTGATTCCAGCCCCATCTTACCACATGCTGTTCCTAGAGCAACGCAGTAAAATTTCACCAATCCCTTCCACATTCCACGTCTTTCCAGATCTGACTGTGAACCCAGACAAGCACTGTCACTCCAGAGCTGCTCTGTACAGCTCCTGACATTTATCTGGACATGGTGGAATTGGGTATTTGTGGGCAGGGACCTGGGGGTCTGGGTAGACAGGATGTCCTCTTTCCCCCTGGACCAGCAGAGGAGGACACACCACCGAGACCCTGCCAGCCTGGTCCGAGATTACCACCCGGGTCAGTGTGGCCACATCCACCCAGAGGAATGCCCGGCTCCTGTAGGAGGAAGGTCAATGACCTCCTCTACTCCGCCAGGGTAAGTGCCACCATCTTCTCTCTAATATCTCACACACATTCTCTCTCTGCTACTGTACCCTCCTCATGCTCTACTGCTCTCACTGTTACCTGTGACATCTCTCCTGACTCACTGTCACCCACCCCAACCCCCAACACCACTAAATAAAAACCGAAAGAACTGTGGATGCTGTAAATCAGGAACAAAACAGAAGTTGCTGGAAAAGCTCAGCAGGTCTGGCAGCATCTGTGAAGAAAAGATCAGAGTTAACATTTTGGGCCCTCAGAACTGAGGAAGGGTCACCGGACCCGAAACGTTAACTCTGATTCTTTCTTCACAGATGCTGCCAGACCTGTTGAGCTTTTCCAGCAACTTCTGTTTTTGTTCCCAACACCACTAACCCTGCCTGCCCTCTGCGCTGCCAACTCGCTCTTTCGGGACACCTTCCCACCAACAATAACAGCTGCGCCACCCACTTCCAACTCCTGTAATGCCTGCCTGCAGCATTCTCTCTCGTTCCCTTACGGCTGTGTGTGCCTATGAGGCCCTTATGCAGCCGCAGCTTCCAGAACTGGAAAACCCAGCAGTGCTGAGCGTGCACGGAACATGGAGTTGGCTGCATGTGCATGGAGCTGTGCAGCTTATAGGGAACGTCGGCTGCCTGCCTTTCATACCAGGAGGAATAGAGTAAAAAGAATTGAGATGGGTGGTGGGCTGCCTGGCATTCAGTTCCTCAACCCTTTTGTGAAGAGGCTTCTGACTCTGACCACCCCGAGTGACTGACTTCGTCCAAACTCCTGGCCTGGTATTAGAGGCTGCCCTTGACTTACTGTGCTGGCAGCCCCTGAGCAAAGGCTATCCCCCTTTGACTTGGAAAATCATAGCAAGCAAAGGATGCACAGATCAAAAAGACTTACAGGCATTCAGGTTGCATTGCGGGTTACATTATTTGAGATTACAATCCATTCAACAGTCTGATAACAACCAGAAAGAAGCTGTTCTTGAACCTGCTTGTGCATGTGTTCAGGCTTCTATATCGTCTGCCCGACGGAAGAGGTTGTAGGAGATCATTACCAGGGTGCGCTGGGTCTTTGATGATGTTGGCCGCCTTTCTGTGGCAGCGAGCCATGTAAATAGAGTCCATGGATGGAAGGTTGGCTTCTGTGATGGTCTGGGCTGTGCACACCACCCTCTGTAGTTTGTTACGGTCCTGGGCAGAGTAGTTGCCCATCCAGGCCATTATGCACCGGGACAGTATGCTTTCAATGGTGTATCTGTAGAAGTTGGTGAGGGGCATTATGGATATGCCAAGTTTCCTGAGCCACCTAAGGAAGAAGTGGTGTTGTTGTGCCTTCTTGACTCCTTTGCATTTGATTCTGCCATAATTCCCACCATAGCACATTGTAGTGATTGGAACCAAGTGGATCTTGTTGACTATGAGATCTTTGGCCCAGGTTAACAACCCCAGTTAATCAGGAAGCTGGCTGACTAATATAGAAAGGGGATTTAGAATCTCCTCCATTTAGGGGACTGACTGTGAGTTGGCTGATTACAGCCAGTGTATTGTGCACAAATAAAGGGTGGCTTGATGATGGGGTACCAGCTTCTGTGCAGTTGTTTCACCCACGTTGTTCAGACTCCTATAAGAGCTTGCCATCTGTTTTCTGTCTAATCACCAGCTTTCAATCCTTACCAGTATATTCCACCACCACCCCGCAAGTTTCATATGCTGAACCTTTGCTTTCAAACCTCTTGCATGAAACCATACTGAAAGCGTTTGAAAATCTAAATATTACCACATCTACTGGCTTTTCCTTCCCAATCTTGCTAGTTACATCCTCAAAAACTAAGATAATAGGTTTGTCAAAAGTGACTTTCCTTTCATAAATCCATATTGGCTCAGCCTAATCCCATCATTGTTCTCTAACTGTCCTTGTATAACATCCTTTATTATAGATTCTAGCATTTCTCCTTTGTCTGATGTTAGACTGACAGGTTTTCTCTCTTCTCCCTTACTTAAATATGGAGTTACATCTGGTGACTTCCAATCTGCTATGGCTGTTCTAGATTCTATAGGGTTTTTCAAAGGTTTTCAGTAATGCATTTACTGCCTCTACAGCCATATCTTTCAACACTCTGGGAGGTAGATCATCAGGCTTCCAGAGGATTTAGCTCCTTTAAATCTCATTAATTTTTCCAGTTCTGTCATTTTATCAATATTAATACCTTGCAGTTTCTTGTTAACATTAAACTCTAGGTTCTCCATTATTTTTGGGAGATTGTTAGTACTTTTCTCTGTGAAGACAGACAATTATTTGTTTAGTTTCTGTGCCATTTCCTTATTCCCATTGTAAATTTTCCTGACTGCTTATAGTGGACTGACATTTATTTTTGCTTTTTACATGCCTATAGAAGCTTTAACTGTTCATTTCTAAATTCCTCATTAGTTTACTCTTATGTTTTTTTTTCTCTTTTCTTTTTCTTGGTCCTCTTTTGCAAAATTCTAAAATGGTTCCAGGCTTCAGGATTGCCATTCTTTGGACAACTTAATTGGTCTCTACCTTTGATCCAATGGAATCTTTGATTTCTCCTGGTAGCCACAGTTGGAAAATGTTTCTGACTTGATATTTATGTATTAAAGCAGTGTACTTTTGTTGTAAACTACATATTCATTCTTTAAATGTTAGCCATTGTGTGTCTACTGTCATATCTTTTGACACGGTTTCTCAAGCTACCTGGGACAATTTGCCACTCATGGCTTCATAGTTTACTTTGGTTAGATTTAAGACCCTAGTTTCTGATTGAACTACATCAATTTTAAACTTAATGTAAAATGCGACTGCATTATGCTCACTTATTTTAAAAACAAGATTGTTAATTAGCCCATTTTCATTGTACAATACTAGATCTAAAATAGCCCAAACCCTAGTTAGTTGCTCAATGTACTGTTTTAGAAGATCTTTTTACTTGCATTCCAAAAAGCCATCCTCCACAATATCAGTACTAATTTATCATATTTATATGTAAATTGAAATCTCTCATAATTGTGTATTACCCTTGTTACACACACCTCTAATTTCCTGACTTATACTATGATTTTCATTATTTCTGTAATATGGTGTCCAATACATAATTCCCACCTAAGCTGCCAGCCCTTTGCTGTTTATTTCAATCCAAAACTGATTCTACATCTTGAACTTTAGAATAATGGTCTTGTCTCACTGCAGTACAATGGTTAACAGAACTACCTCATCACTTTTCCCAAGCACCTTGTCCTTCCAGATTGTCACTTTGGAATTAAAGACCCCCAGCTCTGGTTTCCGTGTAATCATGCCTTTGTACCGGCTGTCAGGCCATATATATGAATTCCTATTTGAGGTGATAGTTCATCTGTTTTATTTCAGATACTGTGGATATTCAGATACAGTCTTTAATTTAGTTATTTTTCTTACAGTTGAGAACCTAGCCCAGAAACAATGGGATGAATAGCATTATTCCCTGCTGTCATTTCTAAGATTCACTTATGGATATGCATTTATCTGCCATCTAGTAGCACTTGGCTCTCATTAGATTTAACAAAAGCATGTTGAGTGTTGTTTCACTGGATGCTGTTGGTGTAAAAGGGAGAGGAGGGCCAGATGTAACCTGCATCTCATGGTTTTGTAGAGCAGTCTATTTCTGTTCTAAAAATACTGTTTCGTGAGCTGGCAATGAATACAATAGGGTTTGATCATGAGTCCACTGGTATACAAAATTCTATTCACAAGTTGAATAAAAATAAAAATGAATTGAATGAACTGTGCTTTATATTCAACAGTATTTTTAGAAATCTATTCATGGAATATTTGGGTCATTAGCTGGACCAGCATTTATTGCCTATCTCTTATTGCCCTTCAGAAGGTGAGCTGCCTTCTTGAACCACTGCCATTCCTGTGCTGTGGGTGGACCCACAGTGCTTTTAGGGAAGGAAGTTCAGGATTTTGATTCATGAGTATGGCTATGTCAGGTTGTGAGGCAGTCCTCCCAGTTTTGTCACTAGCCCCCAGATGTTAGTGAGGAGCTATGTTCCCTGTAATATTTCCTGCCATAGCCAGACCTCCCAGGTCCTGACATCAGTGAGTGTTTGCACGCCTTCTGAGTGGGACCGCATTACTTAGAGAAAACATTGGTAAGGACGACTTTGTAGGGTTGACAGGACTGTGTTTGGCAGTTATTATCTGCAGTAACTAAGTCAATGTTAGGTGGTCCATCCAGTTTCATTCCTCTTTGAGACTTTGTAACAATTGCTATAACTGGGTGGCTTGCTAGACTATTTTGGAGGGCAGTTAAGAGTCAATCACATTGACGTGGTCAGGAGTCACATGGGCGAGAGCAGGTTTGGGCAGCAGTTTCCTTTCCTATAACACATTTGTGAACCAGATGAGTTTTTGCAACAATCAACAATGGTCATCATTACATTATTACATTGCCAGATTTATTTTGAATATAAAAACTATCATTTAGAATACGTACCATGTAGAAGCGGTCAGTTAAGCCCATCAGGTCCATACCGACCCTCCAAAGAGTATACCACCCAGACTCAACCCCTACCATATATTTCTCATGGCTAATCCACCTAACTTCCACATCCCAGGACACTATGGGCAATTTAGCATGGCCAATCCACCTACCCTGCACATCTTTGGAGTGTGGGATGAAACCGGAGCACCCAGAGGAAACCCACGCAGACACAGGGAGAACATGCAAACTCCACACATACAATTTTCCAAGGGTGGAATCAAGCCCAGATTCCTGGTGCTATGAGGTAGCAGTGCTAACCCAAGCCATCATGTCGCCCACACGTTTGTCATGTTGGGATTTGTATCCGGCTCCCAAGAACATTTACCTGGGTCTCTGGGATTATTAGTCAGCCACTAACTACATCCCTGTTACCATTTCACGTTTACTTAAAATGTTGACTCTATTGTGGCTCAAGAATTTTCTTTGTGTGTTTCACGGCAGGTGAGGCAATGACGGAAAAGGCAACAATCTGTCGATCCAACTTGAAGGTGAGCTCAGTGTCCAATGATAAGTTACAATCACAGAGTCTCACTCTGCTGATGGAGGCTATTCACTTAATCATGTCCGTCACATCTCTTTGCATGAGGTATCCATTTATCTGTCTTTGCTGATTTCTTCCGATCATCCTGTAAAAGTTTCCTTTTCAAGTAATCTGCAATTGAATTTGGTTCCCCACTGCTTTTCTCAGGCTGTGAATTCCATGTCATCATTTTTATGGAATAAAAAATAAATTCCTATTTTTGCTCCTGTAATTTTTTCGCGAATTCTCTGTCCCCTAGTTACCAACCATCCTGCCAGCAGTAACAGTTTCTTTTCAAACATTTTCATGACCTTGAACATTTCTATTAAATCCCTCCTCAACTTTCTTTGCTCAAAAGACAACAGCCCCAGTTTCTCCATTACCCAAAGTCACCTGTAGCCTTTTATCCCTCGCACCTTTCTAGCAATTCCCCTCTACACCCTCTGCAAGGGCTTCCTGTCATAGCTAAGCTCCGTCTATTCTAAATAACAGCCATTGGATAATTCTAGCTTGAAAGAAAATGGCTCCTCAACAGGTCAGAGAAATAAGCTGTGAAATTCTCCAGGGATTCCCCTGATCTCCCATTGCATCATTGGTGGGAAATTTGCAGAACAAGCAAACAACAGAAACCCAGAGCATGATTTTCCCCTGTGGATCGGATTTGGGATTTGGGACTAATACTGATCTTGATCCTACTTCATTGTAAGGCTGCGAGGCAATGGATTTTCTGGCATTCAAGCCCTTAGTTCATCCGGAGATGGGCCTGTCACCAGAAGAAGAATGATTCTGGACCAGGTTCTGTTACCCACAAATATCAGCCTATTTTTTCTAATGTAATCACTGGCAGAGTTGAGTTGTATCGGAAAGGCCTCACAATCTATAGAAATGTAAACGTTCTGGTCAATTTAACCCCTATCCCTTGCACCCATTATCCACTTGATGAACAATTGTAGATTACTTGAAAAGGAAAATTTTTCAGGATGATCGGAAGAAATCAGCAAAGATGGATAAATGGATAGCTCATGCAAAGAGATGTGATGGACATGATTAAGTGAATAGAATTCACAAGACTTATTGTAACATTTGGAAGCCATTGAATAGCCCATATCTCTCCTGACTCTTGAATCATTTGTGAAATGATTGGTTTACAGTGAAGAGCCCACAAAACTGTCCACTTAAAGAAACTGACCTCAGAACTGCTGTCTCTAATTGCAGTTATGAATAAGAAATGGGAAAAGATTAAACATATACACTTGGTGATCATAATAGCTACCTTTCAATAGTATGAAATATACTGTACTTTTTTTAAGATTCATCAGCTGATTTATATCTCACTTATCAGAAGAGTTTTCTACACTTACAATGTTGATTTTAACATTCTGATCTTTAGTTTCAAATCCTTCAATGATTCCTCCCCTCCCTATCACAATCCCAGTGGTTGCCATCTTTTTTTTGCACATGACACCATTGGGCACCAATTGATCTTGCTGCGTTTGCCTCCACTTGGGCCAGCAAAAAGTTATCAGAATTAACGGGAACTTACAGAAACTATAGACATTTCACCGAATTTTACTAGTAAGCGTAACAATTTAAAAATAAATATTGTAAGTTAATTATTAATTCAGTCTGAGCAGAAAGTATAGCCATTTCAATCTGAACAAAATTTCTACAAGAGAACATGTTTATTCGAAGCATTCTAACAATAAAAGTAACAATCGTACCTGAAACTGATATTTGCCTTACATCTATTCTAGTGAAATAACATCAACTAGAGCTTAAATCCTGCCAACAGAGCCTCTTTTCTGGTGCTCAAACCATGCCAGACATGTGGGAGCCAGTCTGCTTATTTAATGCCACACAAGAGACTTCTGGCATGTTCTGTCATATTGTCTCTATTGTGGTGAATGTTGTGTAAGGCAGTCAGTAGATATCATGTGGGCATCCTCCCACTTGCTATCTGTAACATAGTCTAGTCCAAAAAGAGAATTGATGGCAGCAAATCTACCCAAGGCATCTCATATGGTTCAAGTGAATGCAAACACACATGTACCATGCTGACAGGGGGCAGGATTACACTATATAGACAAGTGAAACAGGTCCGTTGCTTACATTTAGGACCAGGTTATCCTTGGACTGGACTACACTTTGCAAGTTTCTCCTCCAGTTGTGCAAATGCTCAAGATGTCTAGTGTCCTCCAATTCTGCCTTTTTGATCGTGTCAGATGACCACTGCTGCAGCATTCAGCTGGCAAGGTCCTAAACACCTCCCCAAACCTCCCCACCTCTCTCCTCTTTCTCTCTCTCTCTCTCTGTCTCTCTCTGTCTCTTTCCTCCTCTCTCTTTCCTTCAAGTCATTCCCAGTTTCTGGTTACTGGTCTTGATATTTCTTTATGTGGCTTGATGTGAAATGTTGAGATTGCTCTTGTGAAGCTACTTTTACCGAGTTAAAGGTGATATTTAAAGACAACTTGCTGTTGCTTTGTTGAATATGTTTTACAATAAATAAATCTTCACTGCTTCTTCACTTCTCTTCAGCACATGTACTGGACCATGAAGCAACAGTTGGCTCACCACACTGTTAATGGGTGCAATGTGAGACCTGGAGACTTGCTGGCTTCTGGAACCATCAGTGGCCCTGTGAGTTGTCTTTTCCTTTCATTTCCTGACATGTACCAAACTTGGCATCTTTTAAGTAATAATTATTTTAATTTCAGTGATAAGTAACCACATTTTACATTTATTTTTGTATTTAAAATTGAGCTTATGTTCAGAAAAGTATATTTAATACAAATCTATATTTCTATAATAAGGCACGATCATATCATTATTTGTTCCCTGCCTGTCAGTGGCACTTCCAAAGTAAACTTATAAATATGAAAGTTAGGAGCAGGAGTAGGATACTCAGCCCATTGACCTGTTCCACAACTCCCTAACGTCATATCTCATCAGATTGGTCCACATTCCTCCCCTACCCACTCCCTCCGATAATCTTTCACCCTCGGCTTATCACAAATCTGTCTACCTCTACCTTAAAAAGAGTAAAAAGCTCTGCTGTCCACACATTTTGAGAGATTTCCAAAAATGATGTGACTCATTAACTTCAGTGACACTTAAACTGATAGTACCAGCAGGATTTTTATGAAGGACCGAGAAGTGTGGTTCAGGCAAGTACCAAACCCTACAAACCTGTCTTCATTAAGGAAGACCCTTCCACCACATTCATGTTCCAGGTTGGTAGAATGGATTCAGATTGCAATCAATAGGGATAATTGACCTGGTTTAGGTATAATCAAAGCCCTGGATCGATGGTGCAGGATCTGAATTGTCAGTTATCGGAGGCTGATTGATGTATGTCTGAGTGAAAAATACATAGTCTCAAGAGCAATATTCACTGGTGAGTGTGTGAATGGTTCATCTCCTTGCTGTACTGGATAGCCCTGGGAGGGAGACTAGCAGGACTTTATAGACACCCTGAACAGGCAATGGATTATAGGCAAAGTTCCCATTGTCCTACCAGGCCATAGGGCTGCTCTCACATGAGACAGAGATGACTGATGATAGTTTAACCTGAGTTCATCATGCCTCAGTTGAGGGTGAGAGGTTGATAAGGAGATTCCTTAGTGCAGGAATTGAACCAGTGTGTTGGCATCACTGCATCACAAACCAGCTATCCAGTCAACTGAGCTAACCAACCCTCTGCAATGGAGTTTCAGTTGTGGGACAAAACTCATGTGGATACCGTGCTCTTGGGTGAATTGCTGGCATATTAGGTTGTCTTTTCTACATTGCTCAGGCATCCAGTTAAGGCTCATGTTCACTCATGGCCTCCTCCTCAGGCTCATCCAATTCACCCTCGCCAGAATAGGCCCAATATACCTCGGTGTCATCCTGTTCTAATGGTTCTCCATGTTACATGGCACTCAGCAGACCATCACTGACATACTTTCTGTGCCAAGCTAGTAGAAGTACACTGTCAGCAAGTCAGTGCTTTGTTTTCTCAGTGAATCCAGTGGAGATGTGGTCTTGACTGTATCATACTTCTGTCTTGATGTAAGGGTATCTCACGAGGGTCATTAACTGTGTACCGAGGGGATAGCCCTCTTCACCCAGAATCCAGCCATTGACCTCTGCCAGGGGTTCAAAATGCTCTGGGAACTGAATTACACAAATCACGTAGACAATTCATAGAGAATCATATCACCATGGACAGTTCACAGTGAAGAATTCACAGTGGTCCTTGTGAATTCACCAGTACTATTTTCTGGCCCAGAAAGTTCTAATGGTCATGAGTCCAGTGAATGGCCCCTTACACGTGAGGTAAACGGGCAATGACCCTGAAGCCCAGTGGCCTTGTGGACGTACTGTCCGTAGCTGTGTAGAATTTAACAAATTCATTTATATAAGTGAGCATTGTTCACTTCATTTACTCACTCGTGTGGTAGGCTGTGAAATGCCTAGTATCAGGAAGTAGGGGATCCACTGAGTGCTACACCTTACCCAGTTTCCAATATTCCTCCCCTATCCACTGTGTGATGTACCCCTCCCCTCCACCACCATCACTGACCTGTGACCTGGGATCCAAAGGAAAAATGGAACTGTATGGTGTCCTTTTGCTGAAACTGGATTTGATACTTTTATGTGACACAGTGGCGTGAGGCATCTTTGAAAAATACATAACCACCCAACACCAGCTTGTGGATTTGTGTGAGTGGCAGTTAATCACAGAACCAGGGGAGAGAGCAGTTGGGTCTCAAAAGCTTACCAGCAAGAGAGATTCTCTCTATCTCTCTGTGAGTGGAGAAGGAATAACATTCAAAGACTTTGAAAAAAGAACAAACTGTTAACTCAAGCTAAGACCTAGGTCCAACTGACTGGTCACCAAATTCAGGATTGCTGTGACAGACAACAATATGATATCATTGTCAAAAACCAGAAAGGATCTGTGAGGAGGTCATCTCATGTTCCTTCTGAAGTTTGGTTTCTGAGCCACAGACTTTGTAGCTTTTTGCCTATATTTTCCACCCATGATATTCCTGGAAAACTATCTTGTATGCACAGTCTGTGCCAGTTTTTTGAGTAAAGGAAGATATAGTGTAAGTTTGCCTTTTATTAATCAATAATCTATTTTTGCCACATGTTAAAGGATAAGTTTATTAGAATAAACAAGTTGTTTCTTGTTCATTGATGAAACCCTGGTGTGAGTTTCTTTTATCTTAGACAGTAATCACAGTCAGGTATTAAATACCCTAAACAATTAAACTGGCCAGATCTCACATTTGTGATAATTTGTGGAATAGTAGAGCTTGATATCCAGCACATCTTCCCACTGGGGTCATGATAGTATACAGAGATATTGGGGACACCCAACATGGCCTCATGAAAGATGCTGATTGATGGACAAGTGGTTTCTGATTGCCCCCACTGTAACCATGGGGAATGTAACAAGTGATGGTCATCCCACAAGATTTTGTTTCAATTCAGACAAGGTAGGTCAACTCCAGTTAGCCAAGGAGTTGTCATGGGGAAAGCCTAGAGGAACTGCTGCCATGGGGAATGCTCCAGGGAACTGTTGCCATGAGGAATGCTCCATAAGAACATAAGAACTAGGAGCAGGAGTAGGCCGTCAGCCCTTCGAGCCTGCTCCGCCATTCAGTAAGATCATGGCTGATCTTTTCGTGGACTCAGATCCACTTACCCGCGTTCTCACCGTATCCCTTAATTCCTTTATTGTTAAAAAAAAATCTACCTTATCTTTAAAAACGTTTACTGAAGTAGCGTCAACTACTTCACTGGGCAAGGAATTCCATAGATTAACAACCCTCTGGGTGAAGAAGTTCCTTCTCAATTCAGTCCTAAATCTGCTCCCTCTAATCTTGAGGCTATGCCCTCTTGTCCTAGCTTCACCTGCCATTGGAAACATCCTCTCTACTTCTATCTTATCTATTCCCTTCATAATTTTATATGTTTCTATAAGATCCCCCCTCAATCTTCTGAATTTCAATGAATATAATCCCAATCTACTCAGTCTGTCCTCATAAGCCAACCCCCTCAACTGTGGAATCAACCTAGTGAACCTCCTTTGCACCCCCTCCAGTGCCAGTACATTCCTTCTCAAGTAAGGAGACCAAAACTGCACACAGTATTCTAGGTGTGGCCTCACCAGCATCTTGTACAGCTGCAACATAACCAGAGAACTGTTGCCACGGGGAATGCTCCAGGGAACCAGTATCCCTCAGGCTTCAGTTGAAGAAGGTGCACTTTACTCTGAGAGGGATTTTCTTCTCCAGAGATCAGTGGAGGTTTGAGGGTAGTGGTGCAGGGTTGTTCAGACTGGAGGCCTGTGACCAGCAGTGTTCCACAGGAATTGATACTGAGTCCACTTTTGTTTGTCATTTATATAAATGATTTGTTTGAGAATATAGGAGCCATGGTTATTAACTCTGCAGATGACAACAAAATTGGACAGTGAAGAAGGTTATCTAAGATCGCAAAGAGATCTTGATCATTTTGGGTCAATGGGCTGAGTAGTGGCAGATGGAGTTTAATTTGGATAAATGCGAGGTATTGAATTTTGGTAAAACAAATAAGGGCAGGACATATACAATTAATGGTAGGGCCCTGGGTAGTGTTGTTGAACAGAGAAACCTAGGGGTTCAGGTACATATTTCTTTGAAATTTGCATCATGGGTAGACAGGGTGCTTAAGAAGGCATTTAATATGCTTGCCTTCATTACTCAGACCTTTGAGTGTAGGAGTTGAAACATCCTGTTGAGGCTGTACAGGACATTGGTGAGACCTCTTCTAAAGTACTGTGTGCAGTTCCGGTCGGTCTGCTATAGGAAGGATATTATTAAAGTGGAGAGTGTTCAGAAAAGATTTACCAGGATGTTGTCGGGAATGGAAGGTTTAAGTTATGGAAATAGGCTGGATAGGCCGGGGCTTTTCTCACTGGAGCATAGGAGGTTGTGGGGTGACCTTATAGAGGTTTATAAAATCATGAGGGGCACAGATAAAGTGAATAGCAAAGGTCTTTTCCCTAGGGTGGGAGAGTTCAAAACAAGGGGGCATATTTTTAAGGTGAGAGGAGAAAGTTTTAAGAAGGACATGAAGGGTAACTTTTTTATATAAAGAGTGATTTGTGTGTGGAATGTACTGCCAGAGGAAGTGGTAGATGCAGGTACAGTTACAACATCTAAAAGACATTTGGATAAGTACATGAATAGGAAAGGTTTAGAGGGATACAGGCCAAATGCAGGCAGGAAGTACTAGTTTAGTTTGGGAACTAGTGGAATAGAGTGGATTAATTGGACTGAAGTGTCTGTTTCCATGTTGAATGACTCTATGACTCTATTAAATATTTTGTAAAATTTAGGCGGATCTTTACATAACAAGGGGGTCAAAGGTGATAGTGGGATGACAGGCAAGTGGAGTTGAGATCCTAATCAGATCAGTTATAATCTTAATGAAATGTGGAGCAGGCTCGACGCGTTGAATGGCCTGTTCCTGCTCCTAATTTGGATAGTCTAGGTTCCTCAGCAGAAGACAGCCTAGAGAATACAAATCTAGATTCCAACCTAAAGTAGCATGTCTTTAATCAGTTTTCTACATTCAAAGGAATAAAATCTTGGACAATGCCATATATCTCAGAATTTGTAAGCCTTAGTACCATTCTGAAACTGCAAACAAGGTTTTGCTTAGTATTGCCAGAGATAGTATACAAAATAGAACACTTTCAGAAACTACTCAAAAGGGACTGAAACAGTAAACGGATCGCAGCAGCTACTGAGAGATTACTGGTCCTGTAGATAGTTGGTGCAAATTGCATTTTAGAAGCTTAATGTGTTCCTGCAAATTCCCACACAAAATATCCAATTCAGTCATTGATTATGAAACAGTGATGTAGATCATGTCATTAGTTCATTTTTAAGCATTAATATTTTTCAATCTTCAACTGTTTTGTTAGCTTATTGGGTGTCTAGTTGTGTAAGTTTAAACTGGCATTTGTGTAATAGATTATTTATGGTTATGCTTTTCAGACCCCAGAGAGTTTCGGCTCAATGTTGGAGTTGTCATGGAAGGGAACAAAAATCATTGACCTCGGGAATGGGAACACCCGCAAATTCCTTCAGGATGGTGATGAAGTCACCTTGACTGGTGAGGCCCCTTCTATCTGCATGAGATTCAGTGGTACAGGTCCTTGTATGGTTAAACAAATCAGAGTCCTGACTGACAAAGTGTTCGCTGGGGCTGTGCAGTCACTTGTGGTGTGTCTCAGGTACAGAGGGAGAGCAGACCCTGAATCCAGCCCCTGACAAGGCTTAACAATAGAATAAAAGCAAAATACTGCAGATGCTGGAATTCGGAAATAAGATTGGGAACTGCTGGAAATGCAAAGCAATACTGATAGCATCTGTGAAGACAGAGGACAAAGGGCTAGATATTACATAGCAGTGTATTGCAGATCAGAACTATGCACTGTGTGAAAAATGTTTTTCTCACATTGCCTTTGCTTTGTTTGCACATCATTCCCGTGCTCATCCCCTTAATACAGAAGGTGGCTGGCTGCCTAAATTGATTGCTGTCAATCATGTGTAAATCAATAACTAAGGGTCAATTGAGTTTGTTAAATGCTAATGCACACCTCCCCCAGCATTATCCTGCCCACACCATACAATAGTTGGCATGAGCAGGTAGGCAGGAGTGGGCAGCTCATTTTATTTTTACAAACTTTTAGAAGTCCAGGAGTGAGGAGTCTTACTGTACTTGGATGGTGCTCTTTGTGCATTGGGCAAACTCACAGAAGGTAGTACTTGCCTTCCTTCCATGCCACACAGAATGTAATCCCCACCTCCAGCCTTCTTGTCCTCTCCTGTCTGAGATTGCCAAACCCTCCTTACTTAATGCCCCTCCATTACCTGGGTCTGGGGTCCCATTGGACTGTTTGTCCTGGGAATTGAGTTTGGGCACTGCCTGGAGCTGCTGGGCAATCTGATTGGTGGTCACTTCTTCCCACTGAGGCACGGAAGTCCCATTCTGCACAACATTATCCCAGGACACCAGTGTCAGAACCTGTGATAGGGGGCGATACTGATTTTCAAACACCTCCCAGCTCTTCATGAGCTGATTGGTGAGTTATCCCATTGGTGGGAATGGTACATTAGTCACCACCTGACATACTCACCCCCAACATTTTAAAGACCAAGAGATTGTGCCATAAAGTATTGTACAACCAAATAAAGCCTCAGTGTGCTTTACATGTATTTTCATGTACTTTGTTGCACTGTTGAAGTGTAGCCACTGTTTTAATGTGGTCAATATAGCAACCAATTTGTGAACAGTAAGCACCTCAAACAGTAGTATAAGTATGAACAGGGAATCTATTTTTTGGTATTGGTTGAAGGATAATAATTACAAGACCTCTACCCTTTATCAAGATAGCATATGGGATCGTTCACATTTGTGGCAGCTTCCATTTTAGCACCTCATCTGAAAGGGCAGCATAGTGGTTCAGTGGTTACCGCTGCTGCCTCACAGCACCAGGGACCCGGGGGTTTGGTTCCACCCTCGGGCAACTGTGTGGAGTCTGCATATTTTCCGTGTGTCAGTGTGGGTTTCCTCTGGGTGCTCCAGTTTCCTCCCACAGTCCAAAGATGTGCAGAGCAGGTGGATTGGCCATTAGAAATGCAGGATTGCAATGATGGGGTGGGTCAGTGTGAGATGCTCTCCAGAGGGTCAGTGTAGATTCAGTAGGCTGAATGGCCTGCTTCCATATTGTAGGAATTCTATGATTTGAGAATGTAGCACTCAGTCAGCAACTCCCAGATTAATGGTTACTGCATGCAAATGCTGCTCACCTGTATCACAGGTTGGTAACAGGAGCTGTTCCTTTATCCTGGCTGACTGCCAGCCACTAGTTCCTGACGCTGAGATACAGCAAAGCAACATCAGGGGCAGGGGAAGCACACAGAGCAAGTGAAGCAGCCCCGTTGAAATTGATGTTTTCAATTTATGCCATTTGCACTCAATGGAATGTGAAATAGGGATGTAAAGTGTTAACAAGCTAAATGTGTTCCAGCTGACATCAGCACTGGGTGTCTAAGGGACAAGATTAGAGACAGAGAGGGTAAAGCTGACAGTGCGAATGAAACAGACATCATCGATGTGAGAATATTTCAGTGAGATTTACCGTAAGCTTTAATCTGATTTTTAAATGCATGAATGCTAATTTTTTTTTTGTTATAGGTTATTGCCAGGGCAATGGCTATCGAATTGGCTTTGGAGAATGTACCGGAAAAGTGCTTCCAGCGATTTTGTAATGCACTGAGTGTTTTCTGCATGGGGAATAGAGAATGTCATCATATTTCTCCTACTTTAACCGTTTAGTGGAACTGATCACAAACAAATATCTCCTTGGTCTGATCTCCAATTAGAAACTTGGCTAATTGTTTGAAACCATCTCACTAATTAGTGTGGGACCTCCAAGTTCATTCACAACTTAATTCTTGTCATTATTAAATTTAATAATGATTTATAATAATAGTTCATTTAATAGCCAACATTAATTTTCTCACTGCTGACTCTGTAAGATCTTCAAAGTCTTTTTTATTCGATTAACTGTTATGCAAACATGCTAACTGAATAAGAACTGCTGTTGAAAGTATAGTGTTTGGGACGAGGTCAGCCAGGTGGACTTCATAGAATATGAGTTCCCTGATTGTGGCCACTAATCTGATGTAATCAGGGACCCCTGGCTGACAGATATAAATAGGAATGTCAAAGGTTCTGCTTACTCTAGGAGCTGGCTCTAAGCTAGCTGGGTCAGTGTCATGTACAAGGCACATATAATTAAAGGATAACTTTAGGGGAAATCAGAGTTGTTTCAGTGGCAATGAGAGAAAAACATGCCCCTGGAGAGATTCGATTGCAACAGTCGTCTTCGGATTGGAGTAAGCATTTCTGAAACCATGCCACTATTTGGGAAGCTTGACTCATTTGATCCTGTCGTTGAAGACTGGGCCCAGCATGTGGAAAGAATGCATTATTTCTTCCGGGCAAATAACACTGGGGCAGACAAAAGCAAAAAGTAATTCTCCTGACAGCTTGTGGACCCGCAGCTTTTTTGGTTATTCGAAGCCTAACTTGCCCTGAGGCACCAGATGCTAAAGCCTTTCAAGAGTTGACATTGCACTAAGGAATGTTAGGGTCCCAACCTTCCTCTAATTCTGAGATATTATCGATTTTACTCAGCAGTTCGAGAACCAGGGAAATCCATGTCAGGATTTTTGATGAGGTTAAGATGACTGGCAGAGGCATGTGATTTTGGTTTAACCCTAATTGAGATGCTGACAGACCATTTGGTATGTGGGATTAATGATGTGACTGTGCAAAAGTGCCTACTAGCTGAAGACCAACTGTACTTCAGACAGACGCTATAACTGGCTTTGTCATTACAAAATGCAGCAAATGGACCCTATGAGTTACAGGGTATGCCGATGTAAGTGGACATCCTTGTCAGGCCTACTGAGCCTGGGGGACACCACTTGAGTGCATAGCTCAGGACATATCCCGAACAGTGGGCTCGAGGTCAGCACACTCCAAACCCCAAAACAAAGCCAAGCCTCGGACAAATGGTTAAAATTTTCTTGACGATTTGGGCTGGCAGACCATTCTAGTTGCTACCAGTATGCGGAGCTAAGACAACAAACAAGTCCCACAAGGCCTGAATTGAGTAATAGAATTTGTAGGCCAGTATCCAGGAGGGTGCATACCCTGAAAAGCCCACCTACATCTGGTTTGGAACAGTTAAACTGCTTAGTAACACCCAATTCAGAACCAATCAAAAGAAATGTCTGGTTAAATAGTCACCCAGTTCTAATGGAGGTTGATACCAGCACAGCCATATCAGTGATGCATAACCAGTCTTTAACAAAATTTGCTCTGGACTCCAACCCTTAAGTTTGCATAAGAGCTTGGCTAGACTGAGAACCTATACCGGGGAACCTTTACAGAGAAAGGACACAACGTCGGTCCCGGTCTCTTATGAGAAGCAGCTGCTATAGTTACTAATGATTGTAGTAAAAGGCTCAGGCCAAGCTTGATGATGGCAAAATTGGTTGAGAAAGATTCACTTTGATTGGCTCAACATTTTTTGATTAGAAAATGGCTGCCTGAGTGAAGTCCTAATTAAACACCTGGAAGTTTTTCAGGAAGGTCTAGGAACTATCAAAGGGGCCAAGGCCACCTTGCACATTGACCAGGTACCAATTCCACGATTCTGCAAGGCCCACCCAGTGCCATTTGCCTGATGTGCAAAATTAGAGGCAGAAATCAGGAGGCTAGAAAGCGAAGGAATCATCAAATCAATCCAGTCTGTGGAATGGGGCAGTACTGGTCATACCGATTGTGAGGCCTGATGGGTTGGTCTGCCTTTGTGGGGATTTCAAATAAACAGTAAACTTCTTCTCGCAGCTGGATAATTACCCAATCCCTCACATAGAGGATTTATATGCAAAACTGGTGGGACGGGGCAGGTACTGTCCTTTGTAAAGCTGGACGCGAGCCATGCGTACGTGGAGTTGCAGTTAGATGAGAATCCCCAGGAGTAAGCTACAATTAATACCCATAAGGGTTTGTACCAACATACAAGATTGCTATTTGGGGTATCATCAACATGTGCCATTTTCCAGCGAATGATGAAGAACATTTTACAAGGTCTACCCCAGGCCTCCATTTATCTGGATGACATGCTAATAACTGGGAAGACAAACAAAGATATGCCCAGATAGAAAAGGAAGGTTTGGCAGTCATCTTTGATGGGAGAAAATTCCACCAATACCTTTATGGAGGCAAATTTGTAATAATAACCGCAAAGACCTGCTCGGGCTAATTAAAAAGAATAGGTCCGTGTCACTCATAGCTTCAGGTCGAATACAGCAGCGGTCTCTTATTCTCAGTGCGTACAATTACCAATTGGAACATCATCTGGGAGGCGAAGAGACAAATGCGGATGCCTTGAGCCACTTCCTCCTGGTTGATAGACCACCTGCAGTACCACCACTAGGAGACCACCACCATTCTGGTTTTAAACTTTCTGGACACCCTTCCGGTCAGTGCTGACAATATCAGACTGTGGACACAAGAAGACCCTGTCCTGGTTATGGGGGAAACACAGGGGCCATCACAACCAGAACTGACACCTTTCTGGACCCAGTGAGACCTGATCACCATAGAGGACAGCATTTTATTATGGGGAGCACGAGTGATTGCCCCCAGCAAAGGTCACCCCAGATACTGGCTGAACTCCACCAGGGTCATCCAGGGGTTTCCAAAATGAAGATGTTGGCGAGAAGTTATGTCTGGTGGCCAGGATCAGATGCCAACATAGCAGCATTGGTGGGCAGTGCCACCAGAGCACCAACAAGGACAAAAATTACAGCCAGCAGCTCTCCAACATTCATGGGAATGGCTGGCTAAACCCTGGGCTTGGTTACATGTTGACTGTGCCAGTCATTTCATGGGCTCTATGTTTTTAGCCGTTGTGAATGTTAGAGTTCATATTAAACACAGGGATATGATTGAAAAGCAGCAAGCATCTTTTGCGATGCACTGACTCCCAGAAGTGTTGGTCACAGACAACGGGCCAACATTTACCAGCAGGAAATTTGAGTATTTCCTTAAATCGAATGGCATGCGGCATGTGAGGACAGCTCTATACCATCCATCATCCAATGATCTGGTGGAAAGAGCTGTACAAATGTTTAAAGCAGCCTTAAAGAAACAGCCTACAGCTTCACTCAATACCAAACTGTCCCGATTCCTGTTTGTTTATGGGACCACCTCTCACGCAACTATGGGGTCAGCTTTATCAGAGTTGCTAATGGGGAAAAGACTCTGCACCAGGTTAAACCTGATCTTCCCAGGCCTTCGAGGAGGGTGAAACAGCATCAGGAATGCTAATACCGACACAAGACTCCTCTAAACGACCGAGGCAGTTTACTTCATGGGATGAAGTTTGATGTCAAAACCATGGGAAGGGCCCAGCATGGGTAACAGGCGTGGCCGACGCAAGGTCAGGTCCCATGACGTACAAAGTTTGGGTAGGAGAGATGGTCCTGAACACACATGTGGACCATATCAAAGCTGTAATCTTGCAAACGGTGCAGGAGCAAAACATACCCGGCCCATCAGAACATCCAGCAAGGTTGTCAGAACTTGTAGATTCTCCCCTCCACCTAACATGAAAGAAACCTCTGAGGACAAGATGGACATGACAAGTGTCGCAGTCTCAACAACATTACTACCGGAAAAAGATGAGTTACGACCTGGATGCTTTGGTCGCAAGAGGTAGGCTACGGTGCAGTATATGCTGCCAGTTTCCAAAGCAGAGTTGAAGGAGTCAGACCTGGTGTGAAAATGCCCCATGTGAAGCTACAAGAGAAAGAACGGCCACTGTCCCAGGACTTAGAGGGGGAGGGATGGAACAAGATCAGCCAGGGGGACCTCATAGCATATGAGTTCTGTGATTGGGCTGTTAACCTGGTCCAATCAGGGAGCTCTGGCTGACAGATATAAAGAGGAACATTAGGGGTTCTGTTCATACAAGGAGCCGGTTCTGAACCAACTTGGTCAGTGTCATATACAATGCACGTGTAAATGAAAGGTGATTTGGTGATAGGATACCAGCCTTTGTGGAATTATTTCGGAAAAATCAGTCACTTGTTCATATGCTTGGAGGTCACAGCAGGGAAGAATAATGACAATAAAGAATTGCATTTATATAACACCTTTCCAGATAACCCAAATCACTTCCTAGTCTGAGAGTCGATTGTTTTTGTTCAAGATGTTTTTGAACCAACATGTTCAAAGATGTTTTCACTCACCTCCTGAGCCAGGTGGGACTTGAACCCGGGTCTCCTGGTCCAGACGTAGAGAGTGCTCACCTATGAGTATTTCTGCACTGTCACAACGTAGGAACAATAAAATTTAATTTTGCACACGGGGAACTTCCACAAATAGTAATGACACAAACTGTTTCAGTGAGGTTGGTTGTGGATTTTGTGTTGTCCAGGACACAGAGACTCTTGTTGAAAAAGCACTGGGAATCTTTTTACATGTGAGTGAGCAGGCAGTCGAGTTTCGGTATAACACTGCTTCCAAAAGATGTAAATAACTTCAAATGTCATTGAAATTTCATTGGTCATTGGATCTATACCAAAAATCACTTTTCTTAATTAGCCACAGAATAATTAATAGTATTTAGTTTACAAGAATAATAAAATCCCTACAGTGAAGACAGAGGCTATTCAGCCCATTGAGTCTGCACATACCTTCTAAGGAGCATCCCACCCAGGCCCAGACCCAGACCCAGCCCCAGCCTCCCCCCAACCCCCCACAATATCCCTGTAACCCTGCATTTCCCATAACCAATCCACCTAGCCTGCACAGCTTTGGACTGTGGGAGGAAACCGGAGCACCTGGAGGAAACCCATGCAGGCACGGGGAGAATGTGCAAACTCTACACAGTCACCCACAGGTAGAATGGAACCCGGGTCCCTGGCGCTGTGAGGCAGCATTGCTATATCACAGCTGACCTGCACAAAAGTAAAAGATAAAATACTGCAGGAGAGGTCTTCCTGCTGAGAAGTGGGTGGATAGTCAGCCTCTCATTATCCCTTTTTAGCCTCTGTCATGAAATATTCCTGAGTCTGTACAGGTCTGACATCCCATGGATGCTCAAGGACTCTGATAGATAGTGCATTTACATCCCCCAATGTTTTCTTTTGACTGTAGCAGTCCTCTTTTAAGTAAAAAAAAACACTTTGGAATTAAAGGTTTAATATGTCCAAATGTAATTAGGGCTCTGATCTCTCATTATGACATTCCCCCTGCAGTATGAATTAAAGGAGTTTCATTCTCATTTAATTACAAAAGGATAAAAGTATTAAATGTATAAACAACACTCACCCACGCAAACATTCATTCTCTTAACCTCAGTCACAATTATTGTTTCAGTTCTCACTGGGTGTCTTTACGTTCTGGACAACTCGCCTGCAATCATAGAATCCCTACAGTGTGGGAGCAGGTCATTCAGCCCATTGAGCCCACACTGCCCCTCCGAAGAGTATCTCACCCACATCCCTACCCTATCCCTGTAATCCTACATTTTTCCACCTCGCCTTACATCCCTGGATGGTATGGTCAATTTAGCATGGCCAATCTACCTAACCTGCACATCTTTGGACTGTGGGAGGAAACCGGAGCAAACCCATGCAGACACAGGGAGAATGTGCAAACTCCACACAGACAGTCACCCAAGGCTGAAATCAAACCCGGATCCCTGACACTGTGAGGCAGCAATGCTAACCACTGAGCCAGCAATGTGGCTGATTTGTAAGTGGTATGGTTGAAGGGACAAACTCCAACAAAAGGGCCTGGCATGCTGGGTCTTAAACTGTGCCATAAAACTTAACAGTTTGTAGTCAGTACATACTGTGGTGTCTCTGAATCCATTTCGGACACATCTCAAAATATTTGCGAGCCTTATCTACTGTGGAGTATCATTTCTGATACTTGTTTAGTTCTTCATTGAAGAAGTACCTGATTGGTCTCTGACTCTTCTGGATTGATATTCCTGAAGCAGGACAGCCCCTATCCTGATGTCACTCAAGTTGATGGCTATCCTAAATGCTTGGGAGTTGGGGTATCACGTTTACCTTTGCAGCTCTGATCAGTACTCATCCTTATATCATGTGACAAAGCATCAAAAGTTAGCCATTCGGCCCATCAAGTCTGTTCTGCCAGTTAATGAGACAATGGCCGATCTGATGATCCTCAATTCGACTTTGCTGCCTTTTCTCAAAACTCTTAAATCCCTCACTGATTAAAAATCTTTCTACATGAGCCTTGAATGTATTTAATGATCTAGCCTCAACAGCTCTCTGTGGTTAAAAAAAAACCCCATAGATTCACTACCCTCTGAGAGAAGAAATTCCACCTCTTTTCTGTCTTAAGTGGATGATCTCCGACTCTGACATTATGTCCGCTGGTCATAGAACTTTCTGAATTTAACCTGTCAATCTGCCTAAGAATCTTATTAGTTTCAAGAAGGTCACCTCTCATTCTTCTATATTCAAGGCCCAATCTACTCAACCCTCTCTTCATAAAACAAAATCCCTCCATACCAAGGATTAGCCTCAAAAAGCTCAACACCATCCAGGACTAAGCAGTTTGTCTTGATTGACACCTCATCTACCACTTTCAACATTTGTTCTCTCTATAACTGTTGCTCAATATGCACTGAGTATGCACTATATCAATATGCACTGCAGCAACTCACCAAGGCCCCTCTGTCAGCATCCTCCAAACCTCTGACCTCTAACATCAAGAAAGACATAGGCTTAAATGCATGGGAAGACCATCAACTCCAAGCAACACAATGGCCTGATTCATGAATCCCTCTCACTCTCTCTTCAACAGCACTAACTCTTTGTATGTCTCTAAAATGTCAATAAGATCCCACGCTTTATTCTGTATGTGTGTGATTAATTCAGTTATTTTGTTCCAAATACTATGTGGATTCAGGAAAAGAGCCACTAATTTTGCCTTTTTACTGTTTTCCCCCTCTGACCCTATTTGCTGCTGTGTTACTGTGTTTGCACACTTTGTCCATTCCTGTCCCACTCTGGGTACTGTATTCTAAATAGCTGCCCTGTAATGTTGCAATATCATCTTGCTTTGTGAAACTACATTTCCACTTTCCCAAACCACCCTGCCAATTAGTTTAAAGCCCTCTTGACAGCCTTAGTTACTTGATTCATAGAATCCCTACAACGTGGAAGCAGGCTATTCGGCCCATCAAGTCCATACAGGCCCTCCGAAGAAATCCCACCCAGATCCACCCCCCGACCCTATCCCTGTAACCTTGCATTCCCCCTGGAAAATCTACCTAGCCTGCACATTCTTGGACACGATGGGCAATTTAGCATGGCCACCGTACCAAACCTGTGCATCTTTGGATTTTCCAGGACTCTGGTCCCTGCATGGTTCAAGTGAAGCCCATCTCATTGGAACAGCTTCCTTCCAACCCAGTACTAGTTCCAAAGCCCCATGAACTGAAACCCATTCAACCCACATAAATCTTTAATCTTTAACTCCTTAACTTTATTTATCGTTTGCCAGTTTTTCCATGGCTCAGGTAGTATTCCTGAGATTATTACCTTGGATGATCTAATTTTTAATTTTGCTCCTAACTGTTCAAACTCTTCCAGCAAAACCTCATTTTCTAGACCTATCAATGTCACTGGTATCACTGTGGATGACAATGACAACTGAATCCGTCCCCTCCTTCTCCAAGAACTGAGGAGATGTCCTTAACCCTGGCACCGTGCAAGCAGCGCAGTTTTTGTATCTCAGCCACATGGTGCATAGAACAGCTTTTATCCCTTTACCACTGCTAGGGGCCAAGGCTCCTCCATTTGAGTTCTCTGGATCTCCATACTTGTCACATCCTTCTGTCCTTGACCACAGACCAATTTTCAATGACCTATTCTGAAGGGTGCTCTGGAACAAAGTGTGTAGGTAACTTTCCCCTTGCTCCCCTTGATGTGGTGCAATGCCTGAATTTCAGACTCCTGCTCCTCAACTCAGATCTGAGGTTCCTTGAGATTTAGAAACTTACTACAGATGAGTTTACACTGGATTGCATTGGGTGTCCAAGAGCTTTCACGTTATTAGCAACAACACATCACCCATCCTGCCATTTATACATTAATTAGTGTTAATTTCTTGCTCTTTACACTTTACTATTATGATATTTCATTTGTATAAAATAAAAAAAAACTCGCAGGTTTCAATCTAATGCTTAAGTAGTAACTTCTGAGAAAAAAAGAAAACACAGGAGACCTGAACACAAACTGAAGACCTGACTTTTACTTTACACAGAGTAGAAATATTCACCAGCTCCACTCACCATCAGCTTCTTTCCCCACACTCACATCACACTTTGGTTTGTGATATCTCTCTGCCATTGGTTTTACTGCAGGTCGGCCACTTGACCTCTGTTTTTTATCCTGTCCCACTCACCTCTCACTCTGGAGACTTCACTTCTAGCAGTAAATCCCTGTTAAAACATCTCTGCCTCACTTGCAATGAACTTCCACTTTGAAATAAACGTCCAACAATAGATCACTCTGTCCAGGTGAGGTGTGCAGTGGTCAGTGAGTGACTGGGGGAGGGTTGCAGTGGTCAGTGAGTGACT